TTGAGAGTATTTAGAATCCCTTACAGCATTTTGACATTGTCAAGACATCCAAGTGTGTGACTATTTTTCTAGTAATTTTTATTGTATTTGGGGGGATTCTTTTTTATTCAAACAGAAAGTCACAAAAATTATAACCATCCTCATCAGTTTGTATGTTTTTAAGTATCAGTTCATGAAGGATTAGAAATAAAAAATTCAGGAAGTCACAATTTTTCTGTGAGAAAAATATAAGTTAATATCTATCATAATGACTGTAACAAGCCCTTAATAGATAACAAAACTCAGCCCTCGAGGCTTCATCCATGGCATAGATTTTGCCTTGGAGAATAAAATGGAGCTAAGGAAGGCAGAGCCAGGTTTAACAATTATTTGGCCCACAAGCTGGGTCCCTAGTGAAGCTTTCTCTAATTCTGTTGCTGTATTAAGGCCCCAGTATCCAAGGTATATTTATTTCTAATTAATGCACAATTATATACAGAGCACTTTCTATACATAGGTGCTGGAGGAATTAAAATACAGTTCAAGGCTTCCGGAAGTTTACACTCTAGGTGAAAGAGCTTAAGGCGATTATAAACATGAGACACTGGAGTTTGTGGGAGGCTGCTATAAAGAGACTATTGTGGGGACTTCCTTTGTGGCCCAGTGGGTAAGACTCCCCGCTGCCAATGCAGGGAGCCCGGGTCGATACCTGGTCAGGGAGCTAGATCCTGCATGCACGCCACAACTAAGAAGTCCACATGCCGAGGGCTTCCCTGGTGGCGCAGTGGTTGAGAGTCTGCCTGCCGATGCAGGGGACACGGGTTCGTGCCCGGTCTGGGAAGATCCCACATGCCGCGGAGCGGCTAGGCCCGTGAGCCATGGCCGCTGAGCCTGCGCTCCGCAACGGAAGAGGCCACAACAGTGAGAGGTCCGCGTACCGCAAAAAAAAAAAAAAAAAAGTCCACATACCTAAACTAAGACCCAATGCAGCCAAAATAAATAAATATATATTTTTCTTTTTAAAAAGAGAGAGACTATTGTCGGTTGGTATATGAATTCATATATTCACGAATGCCATTCAAATATATCCATCTCCCTTCTGTTAAATGCCCTTCAGCCTAACTTAATCATGTAATCCATTGAGACCTCTAAGGGAAGGTGACTGTGTGCAGGACTGTGATCAGGAGAGCTGAGCAGAGATGCCAAATGCCAGACAGCTCACTCCCTTTCCGAGGGGCTGGCTTCCACATGCTGGCAGGTAAACCTGTAGTGGGGGCGTGGCGGGGGGGGTAGGTGAGCTTTAGGCTTAAAATGCTTATAAAGCAAATAATGGCTGAAAATAAATGAGAAATTAGAAAAAGAGCAAACTAAATAAAAGAAAAGAGTATCATATACATAGTATCCACGAAGCTGAGAAACAATTTAAACTATATGTTAGTTCTATTTTCATGAAATGTGGTCCATGCATTTTCAGATAAAGTACCTCAAAATTAAAGCAATTGGACCAATTGTTAATCTGAAAAAAGCACAGTAAGTATATTATTTCCCCTGTATTTCCGTTTTTTTTTTTTTTTTTTGGATCTTCTATAGTTGTATTGCCTAATACAATAGTCACTAGGCACACGTGGCTATTTCATTAGTGGAGAGTGAAGAAATGGAACATTATCACAACAGCAGGAAGTTCTATTGAACAGCATGCTTTATAATGTGTGCATTACTTTTTCCAGATTACTAGTTGAACTCACTGAATTTAGAGGTACTTTAGTCAAAAAGGTGTTTGTAAATTGAAGAAAAACATACTGAGCATGTAATTTGAAAATATAATACATTGTTTAAAAATGTTTATCCTGGAACTTCCTTGGTGACACAGTGGTTAAGAATCCGCCTGCCGGGCTTCCCTGGTGGCGCAGTGATTGAGAGTCTGCCTGCCAATGCAGGGGACACGGGTTCGTGCCCTGGTCCGGGAAGATCCCACATGCCGTGGAGCGGCTGGGCCCGTGAGCCATGGCCGCTGAGCCTGCGCGTCCGGAGCCTGTGCTCCACAACGGGAGGCCACAACAGTGAGAGGCCCGCGTACCGCAAAAAAAAAAAAAAAAAAAAAAAGAATCCGCCTGCCAATGCAGGGGACATAGGTTCAAGCCCTGGTCCGGGAAGATCCCACATGCCACGGAGCAACTAAGCCCGTGTGCCACAACTACTGAGCCCGTGAGCCACAACTACTGAAGTCTGCGTGTCTAGAGCCCATGCTACATAACATGAGAAGCCACTGCAATGAGAAGCCCTCACACCACCACAAAGAGTAGCCCCTGCTCACCGCAACTGGAGAAAGCCCGTGCGCAGCAATGAAGACCCAACGCAGCCATAAATAAATTAATTAAAAAAAAAAAGTTTATCCTAAGTTTCACAACTTTTTAGCACCCTCCAAATACATAATTAACTTTCTAAAGGCTAATTTTTATTTTCATCAGGATATACCTGCACACAGTTTAAGGAATCAAATTATTTAACAAGACATAGTAAGAAAAAGAAATATTAATTTGTTTGCTCCTATCACATCCTATTTCCCACTCCTTAGAAGCAAGCAATTTCAACCCTTTCAGTTATTTAATATGTTTTCTCCCTGTCCCTAAGGCAGATGCTTATACTGCTGCTTCCTATGTTTTCAGATTAGGTATCTACCTACTCATTTCCCACTAACGGAAGATGAGCATTTCTTTCCCAAACTCTTACCATCACTGCCCCTGCACACTTCCCTCCTCATCCTTCCAATAAATGTATTTTGCTTCATAAAAATTCAGTGCTGTAATTGTTGACTGTGTAAATGATATTCACAGCCAAGCTATACAGAACATCATTTGCCTTATTTGAATGTGTACAAGTAGGTATAAAGCTTGATGAATTTTCACAAGCGAGCGCATTATGCAACCATCACCCAGATCTAGAAACAGGACAGAGACGGAAGCACCCAACAGCCTTCATAATCCTCCTGTCACCCCTGTCCTCTAGAACCACTCTGACCATTTTTGCTATAGTTCTGCCTGTTCTTACAATTTATATAGAATCAGTGTACTCACTTTTTTTAAAATTTATTTGTGGCTGAGTTGGGTCTTCGTTGCTGTGCATGGGCTTTTCTCCGGTTGCAGTGAGCGAGGGCTACTCTTTGTTGTGGTGCACGGGTTTCTCATTGTGGTGGCTTCTCGTTGCGGCGCACAGGCTCTAGGCGCACAAGCTTCAGTAGTTGTGGCTCACAGGCTCAGTAGTTATGATGCCTGGGCTTAGCTGCTCTGTGGCATGTGGGATCTTCCGGGACCAGGGCTCAAACCCATGTCTCCTGCATTGGCAGGTGGATTCTTAACCACTGTGCTACCAGGGAAGCCCAGTGTGTACTCATTTTTGTCTGGCTTCTTTTGCTATTCTTTTTCTAGCTTGAGATCAAAGCTTAGATTATTGATCTTTCTTTTCTATGTATTTAAAGCTATAATTCTTGATAGCATTAGTTATAACCTATAAATTTTTACACGTTGCATATTATCATTCATTTCAACATAGCTTTCCATTGTGATATTTTTGTATTTTAAAAATACTGATTTTTCTCCATCATGTTGTGATATGTTCCTTACACCAATCCTTAGAAATCTGTTGAGACATTTTATATATCCTGGACAACAGCTGCAGTTGAGGTCATCACCTGATTAGTTGATAATACAGTCATTTCCCAAGATCCACTAAGTTTCTGTACAGCCTGAACAGATGTTAGGAGCCTTTACCCTGAATCTTTCTGTATTTTTTTTTTTTTTTTGCTTGTTTTCTTTCTGTATTTTTAATGATGACACTTGGCAATTTCCCCAGAGATGTAGCACTGACCTGCTTTACTATTGTGGCTTCTACTTGGCCCTTGTTTCAGTCAGGGAACCAGAGTGGGGATTCTGTCAGTTGTCAGGTATGTCTATCCCAAATACACACTCAGGAACAGGGAAAGTAAGCACAGGGGTAAGTCCAAGAACTGAGCTGCCTGTGACACAAGCTAGGGCTCAACGTCCATGTATGACCTGACCCAAAAGGAAGCCAACTGTCAAAGAAGTGTTAAGTCACAGCCACATTACAAAAACCATGGGAAGCAAATTTGGAGTGAATAGACAATAGGTATATGAGAGCAGTCAGACTGTCAGATCTCACAGCTCACCAACTGTGTCTAACCTGTACTTATCCTGTCCACTGAGCTTTAAATTTGAATTATTTTTTCAATTCTATTTTGACAATTCTTAAATCTGCCCGATTTTTTATAGAACCTTAGTTCACCATTTTTGACACTCTCATTTCTTTACACATATTATACAGTGATTTCAAGTTCTGTATCTGATAATGCCCGTATCTGTCACCTTCATAGAGCTTATTCTGTAATTTGTTTCTGCTAACTCTTGCTTATGATGGCATTTCTTTCTATATGGTAGATTTATTTCCTAGCTCAGTCCCAGAAGGTCAGATTGGTTCTCCTCTATCAGCCTCCATCCATTTTCCAGGTAAGAGGACAGGAAAAGGCTAGCACTTTCACCAGGGAAGCAAAACTGTCCTCACAAACTCCAAGTAGACTTCTGCTTACATCTCCCTGATCAGAACCGTGTTACAGCCCTAACTGCAAGGCTTTAAGCCTCCATAACTGAGAGCACTGGTGATGAAGTGTTGAAAGAGCCACTGTGAGTTGCTCCCTGTAGTAGAGACAGGCAAGAGTCCCAAGTCACTGCGAGGGGGTTGGTGGCACAAGTCATGAGGGTTACAAAACGCTGTTTTGGAGCAGGGGTTATGGAACGGTACTCAGACCTAACCTACAAGGGCCGTTAAAGGAAAGGCCTCTGTTTGTAGAACCACCGCTGCTGGCCAGGTTCTCCCTGTAGCTGCTGCCTGTAACTCACTATTCAGGGCCTCTAACACACCTTACAGTAACCAGTAACCATCAACCAACCAATCAGGAATTTATATAGACAAATCAAAAGATTCAAACTGACACAAAAAAAGAAGAAACATCCCTTGGTCAAGATTTATTTCAAGGCCTGAAAACACTAATTGAAAATGGCCCTACTGCAATTTCTTATAATAAATACTTTATATATAAAACTTAAAAAAATGTAGACACTGTTAACTAACTCCTAAACCACACACTATAGGCTTTTCAAAAGCAATAGTTACTTAACAAAATGTAAGGTGACAATATCAAAGAATTTTCACATTTAATGAGGACACAATCAGTCGCAAGCTACTCACACACAAATCTTTTTTACACTTTCCATGTTAGTTTTTAATTTTGTTTCACAGAACCACTGATAATTGAGGCTTCTTTCAAGTATAGGATTTCTAACATTAAATTACATTTTCTAAGTATTTCTTTAAAGAAGAAATGAAAAAGACACATACTACACTGTTTGCCATAAATTCATATACCAAAAAGTCAAAACAATCCAACTGAATTTATTCCTGCTTCCCCCTTCTCCGACATCAGCTTTAGATATTCTTCTAAATATTATATAAACAGTTTTGTTAAAATCAGTCCTCATTTATGCAGATTAGGGGAAAATGGTTTTATAATGAGTTATCTTTAAAATTTATCTTCTAGATAGCACTCTAGCCTTAAATTACATTGTGCACACACAACTACAACAGTCGGCATTTGCTCAGGAACATACAGTCACATTAAAAACAAATAGCTTTGTATTTCATTGTTTAGTTGGGTCTTAAATTGTTTCCCTAGGGGAGGAAACAAGTATTTTATGTTGTTTAAGAAACTGGTATATATAAATGAAATGCTAGGTGTTCGTTTAAACTCTGAGGAAACCTACAGATGAACACTTGGGTGTTTTCTCTAAAATGCAAGAGATATGCACTTAATCACTGTTCATATAGTGAAGCGATGGGACGGCAGATACAGACGCAGATGAAACTCTACATTTTGTAAACGTAAAGTTGGATATTCTAAATGGAAGAACTGACACTGAGAATTATTTACAGGAAACAAAGGTTAAGAAAAATGTTGAAGAATATCTACTCTTAAAAAGAGAGACGTGTTACACAACACAAAAATGAGAACTAGAGATTCGAAAAACACTCATTTCACGGTTTTAAAAGAAAAACAAAAAAATAATAGGGAGAGAGTCTAGACCAATTAGAACTGAGGCAGCTGTAACAAAAATGGAACACAGTACAATGATTTGAGCCCTTAAAGGAAATGACTAACTAAAGTGAAATTTCACAAGTCTTCATGTCTATAATAATATATAAATGCACAAAATATCAAAATTATGAATTCTGGATTTTTCCCTTTAGGTTTGTAATAAACTGTCAAACCTCTGCTTAATATAGTTATTTTTATGAGCCTTCTGATTAGCAGAGCATGCTATACAGGTACATGCATGCTAGAATTTTACCATGAGAATTAATAGTTCTCATCTCAAACCACTGACTTGCCTGTTCCCCATATTTATATATATTTCATTTCCATTATAAAACACTTAAGACCTTTCTAGTGGTACATTTTAATCAACATATTACATTAAAAAGAATCTTGATTTTTAAAATGAACCTTTTTAGTACTGTAACACGATGGGTTTAATTGAACAGTTGGAACATAATATGGTAACTACATTGTACTGTTTAATTCACAGCTGTAGGAAAATGTTTGATTTTTAAAATATAACCAGGATGAGACTGTAGAGTTATGAGCAGTAATATATTAGAAAACAGTGAATGAATAAATAAGATGCTTTTCCTTCAGTGGCCATTCATTATTTTGCTTTTAGGAACCTGGAAGAAATCGTGTTCTTTGAGTTTCAAATGTTCTGGTAAATCTAGTCGTTTCTTAGCTTCCTCAATATCACCTTGAATTGCTGAAATGAGTGACTCTGTGGAGAGAATATACCAGGTAAAGATAATGAAAATCTGCTGCTGTGCTTTTTTACTACTCCTTTGTTCAGCTTCTCCTAAAATCTCATAGGCTGGCAGTGTTCCTGGCACAGGGTAGATGCCCAATAATGTCTGTTCCATCCTTTCTTCTAGACTTAAGTAAAAGTCAATAGTACACAAAAGATGTCCCTAATCTTCTTGCAATTACTTAGAGAAAGGCATTGGCAGAAAGGTACATGGCATATACTAAATGGAAGAAACAAATACTATCAATTCTCTTCAATATTTACACTTGTAAAAGAAACTCTACATTAGAATTAAAACTATTACACTACACTAAGATTCTTGACATGTCTTAAATGTTCCGATTTACTGCTTCTTACACTTCAACTACCGCTAAGCATCCATTATTCATCACAGTATTAACTCTTACTGGTTCCTTAAAATATGAAAAGGAAATAAGGATTTCATTAACTTCATACTGTTGGAGAGAGAGCCAGCCTGCTGGGTTTGAATCTACGCTCCATCACTTACTATGCTACCCCGGACAAATTACTTAACCTCTCTGTGCCAATTTCCTCATCTGCAAAATCAGCAAAATAATTCCTCATGTGGGTGTTGTGGGGATAAAGTGAGTTGATTCATGTAAGGCTCTTAAAGCGGTGCCTAGCATATTAAATGCTCAAATATTATCTGTCTAGCCATGATTACTATTAGGAGAAGCAGCAGAGTAGCTGCAGTAATATTTTAAGAAGATCTAAATAAGAACTTACCTAAAGAATCAAAGTTCTTTTCTGGTCTGAGGTAGCCAACAATGGCCACGTTGAGAATTTCCCCATAGAAGTCCTCTTTGAAAGTATGCATGATATGAGTTTCCTACAGTCAAGAGATGTTAAAATTGAATTTATCTTTATGGTGAGGTAATTTAAATGAAACAATCAACCCTCCTTAAAATTTTAAAGACAGGTTAAAATCTAAGTGCAGTATTTCCTGAATTCTTCCATTGCTCCTGTTCTCGACCTTGTACCATTATAACTGAGTAAGGTAAATGCTATCCCACAAATCTGGTGTGATTTGCTGTTTTTAGAAAAAGCTAACATGCACCAAGGTAATTAAGAGTCTTATCAAGGTGAAAAAACTGAGCAAATACAGCAGAGGGAATGAGCGAAGAAACTCTTCTTCAAAAGATACCATTCCATTAAGCGAATTAAAAAAAAAAAGGCAACACAGTGGAAGAAGGCATTTGTCATACATAGTTCCAACAAAAGAACTGGATCCAGAATATATTAAGAACTTCTTTAAGTAAGACAGACAATCCAATTTTTTTTAAAGGGATAAAGACTTGAACAGGTACATCATGTATGTCTGTTATCAGCAAAGAAAAGAAAAAAGAAAAACTCTAAAAAGTATGAACCTCCTACCAATGGAAAACTGAGTTTCTCCTAACTATGGAAGGACCTCCAAGGCACTCCTTAACTGGCTCTATAGTAAGAGTTCTGTTATCTGAGTAGCTAATAAGGAAAAAGTAGTCATGGGATAGCCTCCCCTCCCCTTCATTCCCTCTCTCATTCCAGAGAAAAATATTTTGCCTTCTTTCATCGATTATTTTCTTTATCTATTCCAACACAGCCTTAATCCTGAAAAATAAGAGGAACACTGAGCACAACGTTAAGTAGTTCTGGGCCACTTCTATTGCTTATACCAGCACTTTTCTATAAACTCTTCAAAGAGGATGAAATTTAGATCAACTATAACCGTTTGTGCCACATACTTGAGCTGACCCAAAGATTCAGCCACATCTAGCAGATTAAGCACTTCAGCTGTGTAGGTCTTCTGTTCTTAAGAACAGAAGAATTATGTATACTCTCAAAGGGGTTTAAAAAGAGGAAAAAGGGCTTCCCTGGTGGCGCAGTGGTTGACAGTCTGCCTTCCAATGCAGGGGACACGAGTTCGTGCCCCGGTCCAGGAAGATCCCACATGCCGCGGAGCGGCTGGGCCCGTGAGCCATGGCCGCTGAGCCTGCGCGTCCGGAGCCTGTGCTCCGCAACGGGCGAGGCCACAACGGCAAGAGGCCCACGTACAGCCAAAAAAAAAAAAGAGGAAAAAAAGCATCACCTTGCAATTTTATCAGAAAGCACCATCCACAGCGTAAGCAGTTCTACCTTAACAGGGTGACCAAATAATTAGAGTAAATGACCTACATTAACTGGTGAACTCAACTTTATTTCACTTTTATTTCTAGTAAAGGTAAACACATGGGCAGTTATAAAAATTAATTATTGTAGTTTTGGCTTGTGATTCCACTTTCTATTTTCTCCATGATTTAAAAGATAAATGCATAAAAATTTATTAATCTATGTTATTGGGTACACAATGATGTAATTTGTGAGTTTTGGTATACTATTAAGTTCATATAAATTCAAAATAGATTTTTATAACTTTAGGATGTTAAATGCAGTCCCCATGGTAACCACAAAGAAAATACACAAAAGGAAATAAGAAAGAAATCAAAATGTGTCACTACAAAAAAAAGTCAACTAAACAAAAAAGGCAGTAATGGAGGAACTGACAAAAAAGCTATAAAGCATACAAAAAACAAATAGCAAAACATCAGAAGTCTCTCCTTATCAGTAATTACTTTAAATGTAAATGGATTAAACTCTCCAATCAAAAGGCAGAGATTAGCAGAATGGTTCAAACACACAAGATCCAACTATACCCCCTTTATAAGAGACTCACTTTAGATCCAAAGACACAAATAATCTTGAAAGTGAAAAGGATGGAAAAGTTATTCCATTCAATTAGTAACTAAACTCTTCACTTTTAAACCTGTCAAGTAAATTCTCATATTTGGATTATGTTGTGATCACCACTGATGAGTTCTATCTGTGTATTACTCTAAATCATCATCCCATTCTCTGTTTACAGAGTGAAATACAATTATTAATTCTTACCATGGACTTTTTTGTATTCTTGTAGTACGGGTTCCATCCTATGCTCACCACCATCTTATGGACGTCTCCACTTCCAACACTGGCCCAACCATAATATATGCCAGTGGATACATCAGCTGGAAGATTATCTACTACTTGTTCAGGAAAGTTAGCTAAACAACAGAAGAAAATATGCTAATATTTAGCGTTTCATAGTCAATATTTAGAAAATTCACATGTAAGGCTAGTCTAAATCATTACCCTCACAAGATTCCTAGGACTCTAACTACAATTATTAATCCCATCATTTCATACTCTGGCTAGGATTTCTTTCTCCTCTTCGTACAGATTGGTTAGGAAAAAAGGTACCAGATTATATATGTATAAGTTACCAGGTTATAGTAAGTGTACCAAAAATCGTAAACTCTCACAGTAGAAGAAAACAGGTACAGGAAGAGCTGGGGTTTTTTTTAGCCCTGGTCCTTCTTAAAGGTCTTCAGCGTCTCTTGAAAAGATTTCTATTTTCGAAATATACATACTAGGTCCCAAGCTCAAAGACTGCTTTAATAGGTCTAGGTGCAGCCCTGGAATGTATTTTTAAGGAAAAATTAAGCATACCTTCAGGACCTGACTACTAAAACTAATGCAGACCAAAAAAGATAGCTGGTTCTCATTCATCTGCCTGTGTCATCATTTGGACACAACCTACTAACGTATTTAAAGAACGAAAACCTTACAGCTGGCTTGAGAATTTAGCCTATCGGGCCCACATTACATTTTCTAAAGAGAAAGACGCGCGCCACGTTTGGCGGATTTATCACGGCTGGATAGGGAGGCGGGAAAGAGGGCTCCCGAAACTCAGCTCCGGCTTCCTGCCCTCACCACCCCCCAAGCCGGTGAATTCGGAGCCACGGGCAAGGACGCGCTCCATCGGTCCGACCAAAGGTCATCAGCCTCAACAAAGCGGGGGCGGGGAGGACGGGAACGTCACCTCTGCCCGTAGCCCCACCACCCGGCCCGGAGCCCCCCGGCTGACGTCCTCGCTCTCAGGTGATCCGGCCCAGCGTGGGTGGGGGCTCCGCGCCCTCCCGCGCTCACCTGTACGGATGCCCAGCTGCTTGGAGCCGCGACCGAAGCCCCGCACCACCTGGCCGCGGCAGAAGTACGGCAGGTGCCTCATGACGCCGTCCGCTCGGGGTGGGGGCTGCGGTCCAGAACGCGCGTCCGGCGGAGCCGCCGTCGAGGCGGTGCCCGGACGCCCCAGACCAGCCGGGGGACGCGGGCGGGAGCTCCGCAGGCCGGCCGGCCGGGCGAGCGCACGGGCGTACCACTGGCCGAGCAGCGCGGACGACACGCCACAGCGAGACGCTCACGCCACTGACAGAAGGTGCCGGGCGACTCAGACGCTGCGTCTGGACTCCGGAACGCCGGCGACGGCGGAAGTGCGGCTGTGGGCGGGGAGCGGAGCGGGGTGGCTTGGGACGGCCCCCCAGCCCACCGAGCGCCACGGGCTTACGTACTCTGCCCAGGCCGAGCGCCCCGGCGCTCGTACGGCTTCCGTAGCCCCGCCCCCAATTTAGCCCCGCCCCCGCCGTAGCCCTGCCTCCAACGTAGCCTGGGAGGTGTCCGTTTTTTCCTTGGTAGTTCAGTCTTCCCGGGCGGTGGAAACCGAGTTGGGGGCGCGTTTTTCAGCCTGGGGCCTGTGAAAGCACTGTCCTCATTCTCAGACACTCCGAAGTGTTTCTTTCCCCTTTTTCCTTTTCATTATGATCCTGATGCCGAGAAGAGACGTTCTTTAGCTCCTTGACAACTGCTAGGTTGCTCGTCATTCATCATTCATTCGCTTTTTAAAGATTTATTAAACCTCCAAAATTCCACCTCTTCATAGAAGCTTTTCACGACTAGCTACGGGAAGTGGACCTCCTCTCCCCCAGACCACTTGACCATGGTCTGAAGTTGTATCAGTATGTAAGCTCCAGGGGAGCGGGTCCTGGTCTGTAACGCTGCAATCCCAGTGACTAGTGGAAGGTTACAGTGATGCAATTTTTTTGAGCAGGGAAGCGGCTGCCTACCCTCCCTCTATTTTCCGGTCTCCCTGAGAACTTAATAAACTTGATGTAAGACTTGATCTCTACTGCAATGTAAATTTGTGGGCCTTCTGACCCTTGGAACTGTGAACATTACCTCGGGAAATAGTTCCAGGGTCACTCACAAGATCTATCCTCTTGTCTTGTTCTTGAGAAAGAAGTTTTAATTCTCTTTTGCCTTTCTCTACAAATGTGTGTGAAATTCTATCCAGCCTTTGCAGTCATTATCCTTTTACCTTAACTCTAATAGTGCTTACCCAGTGTTCAAATTATGTTCTCTCTCTATTGGTACCAAAGGGGTTGAGAAATGGAATATTTCCAGTCATAACGGTAAACGAAGGATGTCACAGTCATTAGCGATGTAGCCCTCCAGTATGAGCTGGTGAGCCCTGAGGAAACTCAGGATGTGAAAACACAGGATACTGGCCCCAGATAAGTGAGGTGCACATCAAAGGAATGATTTCAATAAGCCCAGATTCTTGCATCTTCCCATACATAGAAAGCTACTAAATTCCTTAGCTTGGGTTACCTGGTTTTCTTTAATTAACAATAATCTTTTGTCGTTTGGACTACCTGCCCTTTGTTGTAAAACTTCTATATAACCTGGCTTCCCCCATTGCCTCCCCGGAGCTGTTCTCTCAGGGTTACTTTGAGATGCTGCCTCCCGGGCTTGAAGTCCTAAAAATTCCTGCTGAATAAAACATAACTCTCAACGTTTAGGTTGTGGGTAATTTTTTAGTTGGCAGGGTCTTTGTTGGTAAGACTGTGTTATTTCCCTAATTAGCGCCTGGCTCATAGCAAACTCTCCGAAAGTATCTGCAGGAAGAATGAATTGAGCCCAGCATGTGCCAAGCACAATGCAAGGTGTTGGGGGAACAAAGGTGTCTAAGACAAGGTCTTGGCCCTCAGGAGACTCAGCTTAGTGGGGGAGACCTATTGGGAAACCTGATACCGTAGCATTCTATGCTATAAATAGGCCAATGAAGTCCTGACAGAGTGCTTGGAAAACTGCTAGAGAGAGCAGTCCTCAATAAAAGGCATTTGGTATAGTTAATGGTTAAGTGCACAGGTGCTAGAGCTAGATAAGCCAGGGTTTGGTTGCAGGCCTTGCCTCATTTAATTGCTGGGTGATCTTGGGCAAGGTACCCTGTGAACTAAATGGGCATATCAATAATTTTGTGGGGTTTGAGTGAGATATTGTATCTACTGCACTTAACAAATTGCCTGGCCTGTTGTAAAAAATTCAGTAGCAGCGGCAACAGCAGGAACATCCTTATCCATGATACACCAAATAAAACCCTGGAGATGAGAGCCTGGGAAAAAGAATACGTGGTGGGTCTACTCCTCCAACATTACAAGGAGGTGTGACAGTTAAATGAGGTAAAATAATTAAATGGGTCATGGGGGACAAATGAGGAGTGGTCTTAAGAATTAAATGAGATGATAGTAAGTACTTCACACACTCTTTCATGTAATCCTCATTATCAGCTTTGGAGGAAAGCATTAACCGCAATTTATAAAGAGGGAAAGGGAGACTTGGAGAATTTCTAAGATGGAGCATTTGGGCTCCAGTTTTTTTTAACTGCGTTGACATGTCAATTACTATGCATAAACACTGTGTAATCAGTGCAGGATATGAAACGCAGAAGCCTGACTCCTTTCCATTGCTGCTCAATAGCCCTCAGTGGCTCCCTTGGTACTACAGAATAAAATAGCCCTCCAAGGGTCCCCTTCAATTTGCCATTCTGGGTTTCATCTCTAAGGACTCCCCTCAAGTACTTTATATACTAATCTAATCAGAGCCCCACCACCCTACCCTGATCTCGGAGAGGCAGCAGTGGGTGGTGGCGTGAAGCGAGTTCTTAATTCCCTGCCCAGGAATTGAACCTGTGTAGCCTGGATGAAAACCAGGAATCCTGGCCACCAGACCCCCTGGCTCTTGCCCCCAGTGGAAAATGCATTTCTCACAGAGGCAAAAACTGTAAAAACAGGTACAAGTTTATTATTAGAGACATAGCACAACAACAAGTGGGAGAGCACACAGAGAAACAGTTTGTTTAGTTAAGATAGATGCAAGGCAGAGATGCATATCAGATAGAAAGGGTGTGGGCGTCCCCGTAATGAGGAGGAGAGCAGTAAAGAGGCGGTTAAGTCATCTATATTGGGCAGTTCTTCCCGGTCTTTACCTTTGGCCAATTATCTGGTTTCTGTTTCCACACCTGACCTGCCCTAGGACCCTCCCAGACATGCATGCGCAACTTTTTTCCACGATAGATTCCAGCCCAGAGGTCTATGGAATGGCCTTAGCATCACATATTATGGACTGGTGCCCCCTCCCTTTTGACCCCCAAGGAGGCTTTCTGTGCATGTGCAATGTTTCCCTTGCCCCAAGGATGGGAAATGTATGACCTCTCGATCTTTTAACAGGGTTTAGCCCCTCTCTGTCCCTGCCATAAAAGTGTCCAAATGACCAGTTATCTACACTATTCCTGTTGTTGTTTCTTACATTTAAGTGCAGATCTTGAAATATAGACAGGAGTCCGGTCATAAATATGTAGTCCAGAGCCCGTTTGTCTCTTGCCTCAGGCAATGTGAACAAGGGGCTGGTAATTGTAAGGTCGGATCTTAACAAACGGCACCGCGAAACAGAGGAAAGCTTCAAGTGAGCTTAATTAGAGAGCGCTCCCGGGTGAGGTTCACTGGTCCGAGAAAAAAGGGGCCAGAGAAGTCGCGCCCGGACAAGGGTTTGGGCAGAATTTATAGGGGAAGAAGGGAAAGGGGTGTGGCGAATCCGGGAGGGCGCAGGGTATTCCTTATTTGGTGGTCTTTTCGGGTATCGTGGCAATATCTGGTGCCGGTCGCATCAGTCCTGGGACCGTCAGTCCCGCCCCTCGAAAGGCGGGAAGGCTGGGCGGTGGAAAGTCCCCAGGTCTGTTCCTGGAACTGGATGGTCCAGAAAGTCTCCAGGTCAGTTTCTGGAACTGGGTGGTCCGGAGAGTTTCGGTCTGATGCAACCTGTGAATCTGATTGCGTTCCCCTGCCTCGGGCCAGTTGGCCTTACAGTAATGAATGTCCGGCGTGGAGCCCATCTTCTCACCTCAGGAAGCCTGAACAGGAGGCTGTTGTAAATGTCTAGTCTGGAGCCCGTCTATCTCCTGCCTCACCACCATAAGTAAACAATAAAAAAAATGAATCTAAAGAACTCTTAACACTCAACAATAAGAAAATAAACAACCCAATTTAAAAAATGGGCAAATGGTCTGGATAGACATCTCACCAAAGAATATATAAAGATGGCAAGTACATGAATGAAAAGACATTCAACATCATATGTCATCAGGGAATTACAAATTAAAACACCAAGGGGGCGCTTCCCCAGTGGCGCAGTGGTTGAGAATCCACCTGCCAATGCAGGGCACACGGGTTCGATCCCTGGTCTGGGAAGATCCCACATGCCGTGGAGCAACTAAGCTCATGTGCCACAACAAATAAGCCTGTGCTCTAGAGCCCATGAACCACAACTACTGAGCCCGCGTGCTGCAACTACCGAAGCCTGCACGCCTAGAGCCCGTGCTCCACAATGTGAGAAGCCACTGCAACGAGAAGCCCACGCACCGCAACGAAGAGTAGCCCCCACTCGCCGCAACTAGAGAAAGCCCGCGTGCAGCAACGAAGACCCAACACAGCCAAAAATAAAAAATAAATAAATAATTTTTAAAAAACAACAACAAAACGAAACACCAAGGGGATCCACTTTGTTACAGAGTCCAAGCTCGCTCTGCTCGCCCCATGACAGGCCAATGAATCGGAGACGAGGTGCTGAGGCAAGAAGTATGACTTTATTCGGAAAGCCAGCAGACAGAGAAGATGGCAGATTAGTGTCTCCGATAAACCATCTTATGGGCTTTGGATGCCAGTTTCTTTTATAGCACAGAAAGGGGGAGGAGATGAGGAAGTAAAGTAAAAGCGCCATAAGTTTTGCAAATATCCCCTGGAATGGCCAGCCTCGGGGAGGGATGTGTTAATTTCTTCTTTTCTGCAGCCACCCACAGGTGGGCAGGGTCAGATTGTCTCCCTGTGGGCTGAACAAAGGCACTTTAGTTTAACATTCAGGCAGAGGGGCAGGGTTCCCTGAGGCAGTCTATTATGTACGATTATAACAACAAAAGCAAACTTAAAGTCAAAGAAACAGTCCAATTTAGCTCTTCCCTGTTACAATTCCCCACTGTCAGTGTCCATTCCACAATCTTGTGGAAAAAGGGGTGACAACGTTTTAACTGCTCTGTCAGATGGATGTTTCCGGGAGTGTCCGCCATCGGTGTCAGTGTTCCAAATGCTGAGATTTGTCTTTTGTTCCACTTTGGAAGTGTCTACTTTACACCTGGAGACTTAAAAATATTTACAACCTAAAAGCTGAGAGTTATCAGGAATTTTGAGGGCT